TACGATACAATCGCGGAGGGAAGCAGCCAGTACTGGAATGAAGAAGAGGGGAACGAGGATCCAAACCAGTACTTGAACGAGGAAGGGAACGTGGAGAGGGATGCGGAGGGGAACCAGCAGGGGCACGTGGAAAGGGATGTGGAGGGGAACCAGGAGGAGGAGGCTAGTGGTAGTCAACCCTCCGTTGGACAGAAGAGGGCACGCGGGCAACGAGGTGCAGCGAAGAAGCTTGAGGGTCGGCACATCATAACGGAAGTGGAAGAAGATGGACGTCCTAGTGCCCCGGCCGAAGCCGCCAAGAACTATGTACGTCACAGCGGTTGGGTTGTGCGGGATAACGTGCCTGTCAGTACGGTGTACTGGCGAAGAACAAGGGCACGCGGAGATCATGAGAGCTTTGTCCCAGATTCGGAGAAAGAGATGCTGTGGACCACAATGCTCGAGACATTCACCCTTCCTGCGGGTACAGAGGACAAAGTGAAAAGGTGGACTCTGAAGAAAATGGCAGAACAGTTTCAGAGCTTCAAGGGAGATCTGTACCAGAAGTATATACTGAAGGGGCAGACACCGAACTTCGACACATTCCCAAAGCTAAGGGATCACTGGGACGAGTTCGTTGCATATAAGACATGTGAACAAGGGCAGGCGATGATGGAAAGAAACAAAGAAAATGCCGCCAAGAAGAAGTACCATCACCACTTGGGGTCAGGAGGCTATAGCGTCGCGATGCCGAAGTGGGAGCAGATGGAGGCTAGCTTGATTGAGAGGGGTATCGAACCGGCAACAGCCAATTGGCCGGAACGATCGAAGTTCTGGTACTATGCTCACGGTGGAACGCTCCACCCAGCTGATGGCTCACTGCTCTTCGGCGATCAGATACGAGAGGCTGCGCGACGACTAACAGATGCAGTGGAAGCCTCCTCTCAGGGCACATTCCGACTAGACAGAGATAGGGACGAGCTGACGCTCGCCCTGCAGACTCCAGAGCATCCAGGACGAACACGAGGGAAAGTGGTGATTCCTTGGAAGATTGGTTTCAAGGAGGACATCCACACGTACAGGAGTCGGATGAGGAGCAAGAGAGATACCGAGGCGAAGATTGCAGACCTAGAGTTCCGGGTATCGAGCTACGAACTCAACATGCAAGAGGAGGTGGCAAGGAAGGTTGATGAACGCATGGCCGCACATCGGTCCCATGATCCCCAGCCGACCATTCCTCCTGCAATGGTGAGCCCGTCAGGAAACCGTAGCAGCTGCGCCTCAACGGGGCAGGTAGGATCACAGAGCATGGACGCCATGCAAACACAGGACGAATCGACCTGTCCCGTTGATGACATCACTCAGCGGACACCATGTGAGCTGCATATTCCTTTCAAGAACTTATCAATAAAGGTAAGATTTAGCCATTCCGCTAGTTGCTGCTTATATATGTTGATTACTAATAAATAATCTCTCACAACATGAAGGTGGCGTCGGGCATGGCCATCCCAACGGACCCTTCAGGTACTTACCACTGCAGGCCGATTCCAGCAGGATACTCGAAGGTCGAAGTTGAGTTGGTCGAAGGCGCGTACGAGGACCTCGAGCTGGATTACCCTGGAGGAGACGGTGAGACGCATCTACGAGACACATGCCATGCCATTATTCTATGGCGCAGGCGGTACATCATCCTCCCTGGGCGACAAGCGGCGTCTCGTGCACCATCTCCTCCGGCTCCGCCATCTCCTCCTCAGGATCCTGCACCGTCTCCTCCTCATGCTCCGCCAGCACCGTCTCCACCTCAGGCTCGAGCATCGACTCCTCCTCAGGATCCTGCACCGACTCCTCCTCGTGCTCCTACACCTACTCCCCCGCAAGCTCCTCTTCCGGCACCTTCAAAGTCAAGGGCTCCCCCAGCTCCACCGCCTGCCCACACAAGGGCAACGAAGAAGACGAAAGTTGACGCCGCCAAGAACAAGGACCCGGGGTACGATTGCACGCAAGAGGAGCTTGACGCTTACGTTGCATCAGAAGTCAAGAGACAATTCAAGCCTCGAAGTCCAGAAAAGAAGATTCCTATAGACCCCACTGTCAGGAACTTCTTCAGGGGTATGTCTGCATCTGTCAAGGAGGCCATCAAGCTATCGGACTATGAGCGAACGCTGAAGAAAGCATCTTCTGGAAAGTCCAAACCAGTCCCTCAGCTTGGAGAGCAACCAAACCAGGAGATCGAGCCGTTGGTGACCGGTAAAGAAATGACGATAGAACAATTTATTACTGACACCGGTCTAACTACGGATCAATTGCTAGGAGTCGCACCAATCGAAAAGGCGGAAGTGAAATACATGTACGAACTCGGTAAACCGCTTGTCAAGCCTGAGCTGCTGCAGTCCCTACCCACACAAATGTACAAGTTCCATCAGCTGTACATGGAGATGAGCGCCACCGGTAGAGAGATGATCGGAGCGAGGATCAGGGACACGGACTTCTTGCAAGGAGATGACATTCTCTGGATCAATTTCAGGGGAATCTACGAACTATACCAGCTGGACGCCCTCGACGTCTCTATTATGAGTTGCTGGATTTTTTAAGTATATCGTTCAGTTAGATTTCTTACTATACGTCTCCTTTAATTAATTAGGTCCTTGTATATAAGTAGACCATAGAAAATAATATACTCCCTTTTATCGTTGTAGAATGGAGATTCAAAGGGCCCGACGGCGGAGGGTTTTCGATACTGGATTCATCGACCCTCGGAAAGTAAACGTCGCAATGCTCGACCAATATCCACAAGAAACAGAGGACAATCTCGTCCATCTCCTGAAGGCGCAGCATTACAAGACGTTCATACTGTTGCCATACAACACAGAGTTAGTTTAATTTTACTGTCTTCCTACATACCAAATTTCATTCCCGTACGAACTTGCTAAGTGTTTCATATGTAATGCATCCCACGCACATTGCAGATTCCACTGGGTGCTTTTACTCATCGACCTGGAGGCCTGCACCGTCAACGTATATGACTCAATGGATAAAAAAGAGTCTACGTTTGACAAGGTTTTCGAACTTATAGACAGGTACCGTCATAAGTTCCTTTGTTAATTAAGAAAATCTTGTTATGTTAATTGCTACTATGAATCATAGCTTTAAACTCCATGTAGGGCTTGGTATCGGTTCCGTCATTTGGTCCGCGGCAAATGGAGAGAAAGACTTAGGCGGAAGTTCAAATTTCCTGTGAGTACACATGCTCTACATTTATATTTCTCCGATTCAAATACATACAAGTGTATATTAATTAGATCTCTCGTTGTTTGTCATTTATTTGTAGTGCGCAAAGCAAAAGCAGGGAACTAACTTGTGCGGCTATTACGTGTGCGAGTATTGCCACTGCCTTGCAGACCAAATCATCACCACAAGAGAGCTCGATGTAAGTACAAATAAATTCAAAATTTCATTACGTAGCGATTTCTTGTTTAATTACTAATCAATTTCATACATTCATATAGTTTATTCGCATGAGGGATAACCTGACCACACACAAGGAATTTATCGCGGCGGTTCAAGAACAACTCATGGGATTCATCAACGAAGAAATCCTTGATCCCAAGGGTGAATTCTACTACGACGGAAACACAATTCACCGGTCCTTAGCTTCTGAGCTAGCAGCGAGTACTACTACGTCGAAATCGTAGCTAGCTAGGACATATAATGGATTGTAATTAATACATGACTACATATGTTTCTATATGCATGTGTACACATTTTCTATAATGTAAATATATTTTGGTCATATATATATCTATATACATATGCATTTGCATAACATATATATGTATAAATACATATATATTATGCATGTATATACATATAATATAATATATATATATATATATATATATATATATATATATATATATATATATAAACCATGCAGCAACAGGGCCATGCAAAAAAAAAAGGTCAGCTCGATCTTTAGTCCCGGTTGGTGTTACCAACCGGGACTAAAGATCGATCTTTACTCCCGGTTATTTCACCCGGGACTAAAGATAGCGATCTTTAGTCCCGGATTGGTACTCCCGGTTTGGAAACCGGGACTAAAGGGGGGTTACGAACCGGGACTACAAAGGGTTTCTCCACCAGTGGGAGCTCCCAAGTGTGTGTGATAGAATGTTTTTTTGCTTTTTACCAGCAGCGTGATCAGTAATTGAGATCTCATGTAGTACCGCTCACTGACACGTTGGTCCGAGGGACTATAAAGCTGCAGTACTATAGATGACCTGCATCCTAGCGTGAGTGTCCAAATTTTTTAGCTATAGTTCCTTGACCAAGATGGCAGCTGAGATCGATCAGCTTGGCGCGTGAAAGCGTGCCAACGAGGACGTTACAATATCGGTTGGAAAGATCTTTGCAGTGAAAGTGAGCGAAAAGAAAAGAAAACCCATCCATATCTGTTTGGAGAGCTTTGTGTAATAAAGTCTGTGTTCTTTTCAGCTTACATATACTCATCGAATTATTAAAATAGATTCACTACTACAGAAAGCGTTTTTGCATACGGGCGGAATTGATCTTCACATGCGGTTGGCCGGCCCGCATGCGCGAAATGGTATGCAAAGATCACCATTTGCGCATGCGGCCGTCACAGCCGCATTCGCATGCGGTCACTTAAGACGGCCGCATGCGAAAATAGATCTTCGCATGTGGTCCATCTAAGAAGCCGCATGCGAAGATTGCGAAGATCTATTTTCGCTTGCGGGCGTCTTAAGTAGACCGCATGCGAAATTCAATTTCCGAATAGCTAAAATAATATTTATTCTAGCCTTTTGGTGAGATGTGTCTCGTAATTAATATTAAATTATTGAGGGATTTATTATCGTATTTCGGAATAGTAAGCATATAAGATAAGACAAGTGCCGCAGTAACAAACATGTAATACATAACCATTAATTCAATCGTAATTTACATACGAAATATATAATACAAGTGGCACAGTTTTTTCATCATATGTATAAGTAGTGTACATGTTATTGCATATGTTCTTTCTCCCACTCTCTGAGAGGTTTAAATTTGTCGTCCATTGCGAGTTCACTCTGGTTGTCGTAGAAGAGACCTCTTGCGTTGCAGACATCGCGACGGATGAATCGGTAGAGGTCAGCGGCCACGTTCAAGATAGTAGTGTCGTTAAATCGTTGTGCAATATATGGGATTTCGGGGATCTGCGCACAGAAAGGAAAATAAAATGGTACTCAGTGAGAAGTGTGTGCGAGATGGGTTTCTTTGTAGAGAAGAGTTCGATGACTTACTCGGTTACTGGTTGTTTTGTACCTCCCATTTACTCTGAGCATCTCGCACATGTAATAACCACACAAGTTGATTCCTGGTGGTTGTTTGTAGCACTGCGATATAATTATGGGGACCGATCTCAGTAGATATATTTAGTATATATGTACTGTTCGATAATTAGTTGTATTGGTATAAATTTAATAGTACCGGCCAGCCAGTCCTGACGGATAACTTCTTCTGGGATGGAATATGTACTGGTCCACCTCTTTTGCGGTAGTATTTGTGTGCTCTGTTTGAAGGAAACAATTATTTTATTAGTAGTTAGAAGACTGGTGATCGAATCCTAAATTCATCGCGAGGGGCGACTTGTGTTATTTCCATTGGAAACGGGTCACTTGGTGTGCACCACGTTTCTTCACTAGAAGCGTCTGGCTGCTTATTGCTACCGGATTTTTGAGGAGCGTTACCTTCTTGAGGCGCTATTGGTGCGTTCGATGGAACCTTTTCGTTCGACATCTTCCAACTTGACGTACAAAAATTTGACATAAGTCCCAATTTTACGTAAGTCCCAATTTAACGCAATTTCACATAAGTCTCAATTTGACATAAGTCCCAATTATACATAATTCCCAATTATACATAAATCTCAATTTAACATAAGTCCCAATTATACATAAATCTCAATTTAACATAGGTCACAATTTAACTTATTTTCACATAAGTCCCAATAACTTAATTTCACATAAGTCCCAATTTAACATAATTCTCAATTTAACATAAGTCCCAATTTAAACATAAGTCACAATTTAACATAGGTCCCAATTTAACATCAGTCACAATTAAACAGAAATCTCCATTTGACATAGGTGCCAATTAACAAAAGTCCCAATTATACATAAATCCAATTTAACATAAGTCTCAATTTAAACATAAGTCACAATTTAACATAGGTGCCAATTTAACAAAAGTCCCAATTATACATAAATCCCAATTTCAACATAAGTCTCAATTTAAACATAAATCTCCATTTAACAATCCACAATTAAACCTTCTCAAAATTAAACAATCCACAATTGCACATATCACAATCCACGATGCACAATTAAACAATCCACAATCCACAATTGCACAATTGCACATTTCTTTTTTTAAAAGTAAATGTTACCGGGCGACGGCGACGGCGAGGGGGTAGAGGTCCTGGCGGCGGCAGCGGCGACGGCGAGGGGCGGGGCAACTTCGGGGAGGAGCTGGCGGTGGCGGGGACGACTTGGCGGCGGGGACGACCTGGCGACGGCGACGGCGAGGGGGGAGAGGTCCGTGCGGCGGCGACAGCGACGGCGAGGGGGTAGAGGTCCTGGCGGCGGCGTCGGCGACGGCGAGGGGCGGGGCGACTTCGGGGAGGAGCCGGCGGTGGCGGGGACGACTTGGCGGCGGTGACAACGGTGACGGCGACTTAGAAAATTTTGGCAGCCTGACGGCTAGGGTTTCGCGGGCGCCGGGACTTAGAAAATTTTGGCTCCCCGCGCTTCCTATATATAGGCGCAGATCATCGCATGCGGGCGGCTTAAGGGACCGCATGGAAAGATGATCTTTCCATGCGGGCGACATAAGCCGGCCGCATGCGAAAATTATCTTTCCATGCGGGCCGTTAAGCCAGCCGCATGCGAAAAAGATATTTCCGTGCGGGCCGTAAAGACGGCCGCATGCAAAAAAGATCTTTCCATCCGGCTGACTTAAGTCGCCCGCATGGAAAGATCTTTTTACCAAAAAAACTCATATTTTTTATTTCCTCTAAATAAACTGTACATATATATTTTTTTCCCAATATTTCGCCACAATTAAACATTCCAAATGTTTTTGGCACTAAGAAAACTCATGAAAATTGCTCAAAACTCGTAACCAAATGTTACATGCTAATGATTACAACATAAGGGGGACCTAAATTCATGCACGTACATTTGGAACACAATGAGAACTAAAGGTTACAAAATAACTATGACTTAATAACCTTGGCAACACCATCTGCTCGAACGTACGACATATTCGCTTCATCGATTGTTCTCTCAACCTTCTTAATTCGCATAGAAAGATCAGTAAACAATGGTACATTGTCGAACTGGTTGTAATCATTGGGGTCTTCGATGTTGTCGATGCCGACGATCTGTTGCTTTCCGGATATGACAATAGTTTTTCTTTCATCTGAAGGGTCCTTCACATAAAACACTTGAGCCATACGCTCTGCTAAAACCCATGGATCATCCTTGTGGCCTGTTTTACTGTGATCGACTATCGTTAGCCCGTAGTCATCAACGGAAACCCCTGTTGTGTCTTTAACCCATTCACAATGGAGCACAGGGATTTGGATGTTTAGGCCATAGTCCAGTTCCCATATTTCTTGAATGGTCCCATAATACGACCTCTTTTCTCCACTCGTGTCAATCGCTTCGACACGGATCCCACTGTTTTGTGCGGTGCTTTTCATGTCCTTCGTAGTCGTACTCAAGGTAAATCCATTGATGTCGTAACCTTGCCATGAATTGACAATACTTGAAGGCCCACATGCCAGTCTTTGTAAAGTAAGTTCCTCCACAGAATCACCAACTGGCAGGTTTAGATCTTTGAACCACAGAGGAAAGCGACGCTTGTGCTCTCTTGATACCCAATCATTGGACCGCCCTGGGAAGCAGGCTTTGATTTCTTCTAGGTGTCGCTCAATGAATGGCTCAACGATAGCGAGCTGTTGAAGAACGCTGTTGTGTGTCGCGGACACCTTTTTGTAATCATTATCGAAGAACTGCTTCCTACCAACAGTACCCCTTCCAGACAATCTACCATCATGTCGATGAACAGGAATGCCAATGGCATTAGCATCCTTTATGTAGTCCATACAACACTCGACTGCCTCTTCAGTTGTGTATCCCTCTATCATTGATCCTTCCGGGTGAGCGCGATTGCGTATATAGCCTTTGAGGATCGACATGTAACGCTCATAGGCCCACATCTGATGTAAGTATAATGGACTAAGTTCAATAATCTGAGGGACGATGTGAACGATCAAATGCTCCATCATATCTAAAAATGATGGTGGGAAATACATCTCAAGCTAGCATACAGTCTCGACGGCAAATGTCTGAAGCGGACCTAATTCCAGAGGATCAAATACCTTCTACGAAATTCGATTGAAAAAGTAGCACAACTTTGTTATAACCACCTTTGTATGGACTGGTTTGACTGCCCTTATAGCAATTGGTAGGAATACCGTTAGCAACCTATGACAGTCATGCGCATTGTATCCCGAAATGGTCAAATCCTTCATTGATACTAGCTTCCTGATGTTCGATGCGAAACCAGTAGGCACTCTAACCCCTTGTAAACATTTACAGAAGGCTTTTTTCTCTTCAAGTGTCAACGAGTAACAAGCAGGAGGAATCTCGGTCTTCCCATTTGGCAGCACTACTGGGTGAAGGTCATGCCATATGGACAACTCTACAAGGTCGTTACGTGACTTCAATCCATCCTTCGTTTTACTTGGGATGTCCAGCAATGTGCCAATGGTGCTATCAAACACGTTCTTCTCGAGGTGCATAACATCAATTGCATGTCGAATCTCTAGGTCCTTCCAGTAATCTAAGTATTTGAAGAAAATTGAGTGCTTCTTGAAAGGCGACGTAGTACCGTTGTCACCATCAGCTTTCTTCCTCTTTACTGTCTTCTTCTTTCCCTTTCCATATACAACCTTAATCTTCTTTGTTATCTCATACACGTATGTACCACCTCTTGCTACTGGGGCAGTGTCATTCTCCACTGTATTATCGAATAATCTAGCCATCTTACGGTACCTATGTCTTTGTGGTAGGAACCGTCGATGTCGCATGTACACTGTCTTCAAAGACGACGTCAGGTATTTGTACGAAGTTTTCTCTAGACATATCAGACATCCAGTCTTCCCTTTAATCTGCCCAGATAATGAAAAGTTTGCAGGTAGGTCATTGATGGTAACGAATATGATCGCACGTAGAATGAAGTGCTCCCGCTTAAACTCATCCCATAGTCGTAACCCCTCTTTCCAAAGCTCCTCCATGTCCTCCATCAAAGGCTCAAGGAAAACATCTATGTCGATTCCAGGTTGGTTTGGACCTTGTATGAGGATAGTGAGAAGAATGTACTTTCGTTTCTGACATATCCATGTTGGAAGATTATACATTGTGAGAAGGACTGGCCATGTGCTGTGCGAGCTGCTTAAGTCACCAAACGGGTTCATTCCATCAGTGCTCAACGCAAACCTTACATTCCTAGGATCCTTAGCAAATTCTGGGTGTTTTGCATCAAATGTCTTCCACTGGCGAGCGTCGGCGGGATGTCGAATCATACCATCTATTTTCCGACACTCTTGATGCCATCTCATCAACTCAGCATCAGTAGGGTTTGAGTACAGACGCTTCAGGCGGTCCTTAATTGGTAGGTACCACATCACCATTGAAGGAATCTTTCCACGCTTACCCTTATCAGAATCTGGATCGGTACACTCTGAATCTACGGGCCCATTCCCCATTTTATACCGACTTGTGCCACACGTTGGGCAACATTCCAAGTCCGCATATTCTTTACGGTATAATATGTAGTGATTCTTACAAGCATGAATCTTTTCTACACCAAGAGATAAAGGACATATGAGTTTCTTCGCTTGATACGTGTTTGATGGTACAAAGTTAGGCTTAGGAAGCAACACACGCAACAAACTCATCAGATCATTAAAACTTGTGTCCGACCATCCATGTTTAGCCTTCAATCTCAGAAGTTCAAGCACTGAACGCAAGACTATGAAATCCTTATCACATCCCTTCGTTTCATCGTAAAGAAGATCCTTCGATGCCTTCTCTAATGCCTGCCAATTCTCCAATACTCGTGACCTGCCCGCTAGCACCTCTGGTTCAACATGGCGTAGCATATCCTCTAAATCAAAACCACCATCGAAATCATCACTATCGGTGGAAACATCGACATCCATTCTTTCACGCGACATGTCTTCGATTATAAAATTCTCTGTCTCATTCATCTCGAAACTTAACTCTTCATCGTCATCTTCCGGATTAGCGAATTCCCCGTGATAGGTCCAAACCTTGTAGTTGGCGGTGAATCCGTACTCCATTATGTGACCCAATATTTCACCAGGATCTACCAACAATTTCTGATTCTTGCAATGACGGCACGGACAAAAGATCTTTGTCATATTCTCCCTCAAAGCATGCGCCTTAGTCTGATCAATAAATTTAGATGCTTCCTTAATAAATATCGGCTGCGTTCTCCGCATCTCATACATCCATGACGACCGATCCATCTAATTATATAAAGGCAAAAAAGTTACAGATAAAAAAATAGACCGCGGGTATTTAATACAAAAGTTTAAATGCATTTGTCTCCAAAAAAAATTACAACAATACATGTAACTAGTATGTACAAGTGATTACATGCAAAATTTGCCCATCAAAACATATATTTTGAAGCTAGATTTAGCAAAAACTAGTTAGAACAAACCTTGTCAAAATATTAAAAAAACTCCACTTTCCACCAACGAAATATAACAAAAATGGAGCCAAATGAAGGAGGATAGAGAGTTCTTCACCTTTCGTATAAAGTTCAAGCAAAAATTTTGAGTTGAATACCTCCCCCCCTAATTGGTGCTTGCTTTAGGAGAGAGAAAGCTTCGTTTTCAAATGGTCAAGCTCGGGCCTGGAGGAGCATATATGGCCGATCATCGCATGCGATCCCTTAAGCCAGCCGCATGCGAAGATCCATTATCGCATGCGGCTGTCTTAAGCAGCCGCATGCGATAATGGATCTTCGCATGCGGCTAATCGACCCGCCCCCCCCCCCGGGGGGCGGTTTTTGCAGGCGCCGTCACAAGCGGTCCGCATAAAACCTACCGATCTTCTCGTACAGAAAAACGATTTTTGTAGTAGTGATTGTTTGCTTTGCACTTGGTGAAAAAAAGTATTTTATTAAAACGTTTTGTTTCATATAATTTAAATCTTTATTTAAAATCATTTGTCATATTTATTTTTTTAAAATATTTGATAATCTACGATAATAATCTACCCAATAATTTAAATTAAACATGACCTATGGATATTATTTAGAGGTTAGTGTGAATTCCGAGTGTAATTAATAATATTTTTCTAAGAATAATATAAGGGAACTTGACGCAAGAATCCAATGTGTTCTTTTATGGGGATTTCTTGTGCTCCCTTTTTCTTAATTTAAAGATAGCCGGGGTCCCTTCTCTTATTCTTTTCTTAAAAAAATTCTTATACCACTTTTTAAAACACAAGATTGTCGAAGTCGAACATATATGCTGAAATTTAAATCTGAGTATTTTTGCGATAAGTTTGACAATGACCATAAAGAATAATTAACACGCGGTTGTAAGAGAGCATTGTTGGGCCTGCAGCAGGTGGTTGTAGTATACGGTGATAAATGGAAGCTTAAAAAGCAAGATACACCACGGATCAATAAAAACCACAAGAATAAAACAGTCATCTTTTCCAGCTTTTCTTCCTTCTTCTTGGCAGTAGATTTTATCGTTGACGGTTGACCGCCGACACCTGTGATTTTTATGAGAGGGAAAAATACAAAGCATGTATGGTTTATTTATTGGTTTACACCTTGACAGTCAAAATCAAATTTCAGGTGGAGAGAGAGAGCCGCAGCAACTCAATCGCTGTTGGCTACAAACTACGAGTCCACATCAGAAATAATCTTTGCATAGGCAACAAGTACTGTACATATATATAATTACAACATTCAACAACCTAGCAATATATACTACGTCGGATTTAACAATGGAGCTGTTCGGCGGCCTGCGGCTGCGGCGCAGCTGACACCAACAGCGTCGCACGCCGGCCAGCTCGCTGAACAGATCCTATCATATCATCTAATCCTATGTTAGATCCTTACTGAATATGAGTAGATTCCATCGATCTACATTAAAATTTAATATAATGAGAAGGTGAAAAACAGAATTAAATAAAAAGGACAACCAAGTGGATGGTTTTGCTAATTGTGCATTGATAATAATTAATATTTACAGTTTTCCCATGCTTCCCTTTATAAGATAATGAAGTTGCTTCTCATCATAGCTTGTTTTAACGTATTCGTTCGGACCCTTTGATCGAAAATGTGGCATAAGACAATACTAATTTAAGCGCGATTATCCAATTTATCTTCAACAAGTACGAACTGATCCGGCACTATCAATTTAAAGATATTTTATCGGCCTATAAGCCCCGTAATCGATATGATCTCAAACATTGTACGCATATGGTTACTTGTTCTTTTAAAACTTCACACAAATCCATACAAAATTTACGCCTAGCTAAGATTTCACTGACAGAGTAGTATGATTTCCAGCCTTCATATAGGGTGTGTTTAGTTCTTTGGTGTAAAATTTTTAAGTATACAACCGCACATTTGAAGTATTAAACGTAGACTAATAACAAAACAAATTACAGATTCCGCCCGTAAACTGTGAGATGAATTTATTAAGCCTAATTAATCCATCATTAGCAAATGTTTACTATAGCATCACATTGTCAAATCATGTCATAATTAGGCTCAAAAGATTTGTCTCGCAATTTTACATGCAAATTGTACAATTGGTTTTTCCCACATTTAATGCCCCATGCATGTGTCCAAACATTTGATATGATGTTTTTGGCCAAATTTTTTTTATCTAAACAAGGCCATATAATATAAATGTGCACAGCTATATCTGTGGACATCGGTACCCGTCGCACCAATCACCTATAGTCTCCTAGACTCTTGTACTCCCAAAGCCCCGTAATAAGCGTAGTTGTTGGTTTCAGTGCCCAATATTTGACCGTCCGTCTTATTTGAAATTTTTTTGTGTCTAGAAAAATTACTCGTGCATCGTAATGTGTGAAGTCTATTTTAATCTCATTATTATTATATGGTTTAGTTAAGATGAAATTCACTGTGAGAGTTCGCTTGGATATAAAGTTCCCAAATGATCATTGATGCAATCTGGAGCAGTTTGATTTCTTATATGATTCCTTCTGTTTTATCAAAAGTGAACGATCTTAGAAACCGACTCAAATACGGATATGTATTTCCAAAAACAATCGAACTTAAAAATCGACTCTCATTATTATTATATGGTTTAGTTAAGATGAAATTCACTGTGGGAATTCACTTGAATATAAAGTTTCCAAATGATCATTGATGCAATCTGGAGCAGTTTGATTTCTTATATGATTTCTTCTGTTTTACCAAAAGTGAACGATCTTAAAAACCGACTCAAATACGGATATGTATTTCCAAAAGCAGACTCAAATACGATATGTATTTCCAAAAGCAATCGAGCTTAAAAATCAAGTTATACACGGATGACGTACCAAAATACCGGCAAAAACATCTTCAATTTTTATAATAGTAGAGATTAGTAATTTTTATTATAGATGATAAAATATGAATAGTACTTTATGTATAATTTAATTATTTTTAATTTTTTTATAAATTTTTTAAATATAAAGGACGGTCAAATGTTACACATGAAAACTTATGGTTGTACTTATAACGAAGGGAGTAACAAACAAAAATCACATGGAATCATACCGATTTAGCTCTTGTATACATTTGATCATCCTCTGTGGAGAAAATAGAGCAAACCGGTCATCGGTACAAAAGTAGGGAGAAATATTGCCCCATATATGCATCTAATTCGGTGGTGTCCCATCCGATGTTCTACTAGTACACACTATCGTGTTGCAAATGCTTGGCTAATCATTTTCCTCAAAATAACAATTAAAAATAAAAAGAAGAAGAAAAAAGTGCTGGCGAATTAAGCGTCGACAACCTCGCAGCCGCACAAAAGTCATCGTTTTTTCTTTTTCTTGTTTTCCACGTCTAAGCTAAAGTCATCAGCCCACCCCAAAACGAGCGGCCAGGAGAATCCCACTCAAATATCTCCCTCAAATCCCACCCAAAATAATGTAAAAAAAAATCCCAAATCACATGCTGCTACTACTAGTAGTACTGATTCAAAATATCTCGGATTGATAAATTTTGGAGGTA